TCTGCACTGGTATGTGCGTTGATCAACTATTAAATGGGTCATATGATGCGATTTCAATTTTTCCTTTCTCTTTCAAGTGTTACAAGCTCTTGGTGCATAAAGAAGATCTGTAAAGTTGCAAAGACTAAAGTCTCAAATCCAAAGAGATATTCTTTATAAAATTTAAGAGTCAACCACGCCTACCTAAAACGGCTCGTTCTAACACGCCCCCACATATCTACGTCACGATGTGGGGAAGATTTGCATAATGCCGCCCAAATGTTCACGCAAAGAAAGAAGGCGTAACTTTTATTCTCACCAGTGTTGCCAACTTAGCGACTTTTCAGACCCCCCTAGCGACTTTTTCCCAAAAAAGCGACTAGCGACAAATCTAGCGACTTCTTGGACAAACCTTAACGAGTCTCTGTGATCGCTGGTAGTGCCGCAACGGCGCGAGGTCAGCACCTCTGCACCTCCCTCTCTCCCTCTCTCTCTCTGCTCAGCGAGCGGCTGAGAGGAGCTGCGCCTTCAGTTAAAATAGATATTATGTTGCTTCTCAAATTTTACATGCAAATATAGCTGAAATCACCACACAGGAATTGTCTTTGTTTAGTCTTTTCTTATGTGCGTTTTATTTCATCAAACGATGGCTCAAATATAAATCAGGATTTTTGTGCAGAGTAACGTTTTGGAAGGGAGAGCTGGTAATGGACTTAAAGGGCCGCGTTTCAGTCACTATTTCATATTTATTCTGTTGTCTGACAACAGAAACAGTAATATATATATATAAATGAAAACATTTTTATTGAGAATTTGGCTGCATTAAAATGCAATATGTGAGCACAGAGAGACAAACAAATGTAAAAGGCAACACGACGCGATGATGTCATGAATATGCTAACTAGCGTATGATGTCATCTGGCGACATTTAGCGACTTTTCAAACTGGCTTTAGCTACTTTCTATTGAAAGAAGTTGGCAACACTGATTCTCGCTGTAGTATTGTTGCTGCCGCCATGTCGTGAAGACGCTGTGTTTCGTTGTGAAAGCGAA